CCCCAACTCACACAGGCTCCCATCAGCACCCCAACGATGCAGGCCTGCAGGACCCCCCCGGCTCCCACCAGCCACGGCAGCCTCAGCACCAGCAGCAACCCCAGCAGGGTCTGCAGGGAGGGGGCTGCGACCCCCCGCAGCGTCCCCAAAGCCCGGCGCTGCCAACAGCCAATCAGGAAAAAGGGGGGGTCCAGGATCCCCATAATAGGAGACACCCCCCCTCCTCCTCAATGTCCTGTAGGATCCCTTGAGAACCCTTTGGGAACCTTTGGGACCCCATAGGGACCCCACTGAGCACAACTGAGGACCCCAAGGCACCCCACAGACCCCTGGGGACCCTCCCACAAACACCCGCCCCCCAAGGACCTTTGAGCCCCCCTGGATCCTCGGGGACCCCCAGAGTCATTTGGGACCCCTTAGGGAGCCCTTGGACCCCACTGAGGACAACTGAGGACCCCAAGGCACCCCCTCACCGCACTTGGGGACCCATTGGAGGACCTGGGACCCTTTGGGACCCCCCCTTCAGCCCCTTTGGAACCCCCCTGGATCCTTGGGGACCCCCAGAGCACCTTTGGCACCACCCCCAATGTTTGTGCATAGGGATCACTGGGAACCCCCTCCCAAAAAGCCCTTAGGGACCACATTGGGGACAACTGAGGACCCCAAGGAACCCCACAGATCCCTGGGGACCCCCCCCCAGCACACCTGGACAGGGGACCCCTTGGGACCCCCCCAAACCCCCCCCAAAGCCCCTCACCGGGGGCTGCCCGTCCTCACTGCCAGGGCTGAGGCTGCTGTACGCAGCGATGCGACGCAGCAGGGCGGGCACGCGGGGCCGGGTGGCCAATTCATCCTATGGGGGTACGGGGGAAGGGGGTCGTTTTGAGGCCATTTGGGGACAATTCGGGGGCTGGGGGGGGCGGCCGGGGGGTCTCACCTCGAATAGAGCCAAGTTGCGGTCGCAGGGGGCGGGGCCAGCGGAGGGGGCGGGGCTTGGGCGTGGAGGGGCGGGGCCTGAGGGGAGCGGTGAGCGAAGCCACGCCCACCGCCCCCCCCATTACCAACACACAGCCCTATAGACCTCCCGCCGCAAGGGGGCGCTCACCGCGCGGTGCCGCCGCCGCCGCCGACGTCTCGCTGGCACTCGGGCTGCTGTCCGATGGCGGCGGGCGGGAACTGGAAGCGGACGGCGGCTCCGGGCTGGACTCGGATAAGTCGGCCCCGCGGCTCGGTGTGACAACGAAACGCACCGCCGCCATATGGGGGGTGGGGGTGGGGGGGCTGGGGGGGGAAAGGGTGCCAAGGGTGAGGGGAAAAGGGTTCAAAGGGTGAGGGGAAACAAGGCCCGAATGGAGTGCGAAAAAGGTCCTCAAAAGGGTAAGGGGGGGAATGGGCACAAATGGAGCGTGAAAAAAGTCCCCAAAAGAGTAAGGAGAGGGAAAGGGGCCAAAACACCCAATTTTCAGGGAAAGTCGCAAATCCTGAAGGAGAAAATGGTAATTCTAGGGGATCGTAAAGGGAAAGAAAACAGAGTTTTGAGGAAAAGATCTGTGATCTTACGGGAAAAAGTGCTCACTTTAAGGGGAAAGGGTCACTTCAGTTCAGAAATAAGCAGAAATTTGCATTTGTTTGGAGCCAAAACGGGCAATTTTCCCCTCAAATCTCCCATTCTGAGCTGGGAGGAAAAACACCCACATTTTAAAGGAAAACAAAACCCCAGCGATTTGGGAGAAAAGAGAACCCAATTCTCGGGGCAAACCAAAAGGCTGGGGCAAAAAAAAAAAGGCTCGTTTGGAGGTAGAGCCCCACTCTGAAGGTAAAAAAAGCATCTTTGGGGGCTGCTCCACTCACTGCCCCTCCCAGCAGCTCAGCAAGCAGCATTTTGGGGCCAAAGCCCCGCATTTTGGGTCCACCCCGCGCCGCTCCCACTGCCCACGAACCCGCGCACCCCTTCAGAGCCTCGCCACCCCACCATTTTCGGTTTAAAACCCCACATTTTGGCTCAAAACCCCCAGCATCGCCTCCCGCCCCCCTCCCTTTGCTTTTATCCCCCCCCAAACCGCATCCAGAACCCCAAACCAGCCTCCAAACCCCCCTTCTTAAAGCCCCGCGATCACACGAGCCTCACTTTTGGGTCCAAACCCGACGATTTTGGCTCCCCGTTTTCCCACCGCCGCCACCTTATAAGGCTGGGGGGGGGAGGGGAAGCAGAAAGGGCGTGCCTAAGAGACCGGAAGTCCCGCCCACAATGCGGCAGGGAGCGCCGCAGGGGGCGTGGCTAAGAGACCGGAAGTCCCGCCCGCAGCCGCACACCACGTGGTTTGAAAATGGAGAAAAGGGAATAAAGAAGCGTTTATTTAAAATGGCGGCCGGTTTTCAAAGCAGCGGTCGCGGACGTTGGGTTGGGAGGATCCCGAAACGGCGTTTGAGGGCCAAACGGTGCCGGGAGAAGCGATCGTCGGGGGAGAAACGGGCCGGGTGGGCCGAGCTGGTGGGCAGGCCGGCAGGGCTCAGCTTCTGTGTGTGGAT